TCACACCATGCACTGGGCAAAGACTGCAAGACCCGCATGTGTGCAACATATCAAGTGCCTCAAGCAGACTCAAGTCAGTACGAGTCTTTTGTGTCACTCAACTCAAATTCGAAGTTGAGTAGGGCAAAGCTTCAATAAAAGCATGTCCCATATCTCCTCTAACGATTCCCGCATCGTTGCATGTCAACAAAACTCTCACGCTTCGGCGTTGCAACACCAATCAAAAGAGCCAGACTGAATAGGAACACAAGGGCAAATGATCTACACCATAGTAGCTCTTGTCTGTGTTTCAGCTTTATTGCTATAGCTGTTTGTTGTGGCTGCGTCGAGGGCCTCATCTGCATTGGTGGACTCCGGCAAGGCTGTGCTCACCACTTGGTCGATGACATTGCGCCGGTACTGCACCGCATGAAAAGATAAATAAGGTGCAACCTAATAGCGATGCCCTTCACCCTAGAAGCGATGGCCTCCACCCTAGTAGCGATGGCCTCCACACGTGAATGATCTAGGTGGCAAGTTGATCTCTCAGCCTCAATTGGAGAGAAAAATATATAAACAATTGAGCATCACGTTGCACTTCCCCCACTCAAATTGAGTCCAAAAACTGCCAAACTCGCTGTCCTGGTTGTCAGGCGTCAGAACCAAGGCCCAAAGGTCTGGGCTTTGGCGCTCCACCAAATACCTGTTTCAAAAATCATGAGCAGACGGAAGGTAGAAAGCGAAGAAACAGGAGGAAGCATGCGAATCTATTGTCATCTCAGTCATCTCCCAAACGATTGAGGATCACTCAAAGTCCAGAGGACTCAGAAAATCAGTAAAGAGCTTTGTCATTGTCGTGAATCAAGTACCACTTCTGAACACCTTTCCACGGCACCTGGCTTGCAGACGGAAGAGGCCGTTGCGGTTGGTGACGTCCACCAGTTGCTGGGCCGCGCATCAGGTCAAATGAGTCTCTTTGATTTCACCAGTCTTTTCGAACCGTCAAACCATTGTGCTGCAGTACATGATTAATCATGTCTCCGTTGGACCTCTCTTGTTGGAGCTGTTCAAAGCTGTGATTCTTGCACTTCAAGAGTCGTGCTGGCTGAATTTCAGCGCTGTTGGACTGTTGGACCAAATGATTCGCACCAACACCAGAGTCACCCTCCCACACCTCATCACAGGAGCCCCAAGCACGCTTGTAGGCCTCAAGATTCTCAAGCCTCCATTGAACAGATTGCTCAACCAGAAAACACCAGGCACCATGAATTGCACTCATTTGAGGCCTGAAAGTGTCAGAACATCAAGGCAGCAAGACTCCTTTTGGTGCCTTGAAGAGCATGCTTCACCGTCACACACGAAAAAACGACATCCTCAGATCGGGGCTGTGTAGGCCAGGTGCGGGTCACGATCCTCACAGTACCTTCGGAAAGAATGAGAACAACGTCTGCAGAACCGCGTCTTCGAACGAGAACGACATCACTTCGAACGGCAAAGTCCGGGGAGCTAAAGACATGTTATCTTCGCCGGAATGCTCGGCAGCCTGGCAGGAATGCTCGCCGGAAAGGCAGTTCTATCGCTTCCTGGCGGGTCACTTGCCCACGATCTTGGAGTCGTAGAATGCATTGGTCTTCAAGAAGTTCTCCGGATCACGATTGGTGTCGATGAGAATCCTCAGCAAGCAAGATTGTTTGGCTTCCGCAAGAAATGGCATGGACATGGCTGACTGGCTGGCCGGAAAATGAAGAATTGTTGACAAACGGATGACGGTGAGAGCGCTTCGAATGATATACATTGTCACTGAGTGTGTGTGTGTGTGTATGTTGTTTAGCTCTTTGTAGATGAAAGTTCTTCGTAGGCCAAATCTCGGAAGAACTCCGCACATGTACGGCCTCTGAAAAACATGTGTTTTGGAGTCCTTTTCCAGCTTTTGGCAGCCGGTTCTGAGCTTTCTGCTTCGCCATGGCGTTGTGCAGGTGAGGATCCTTCGCAGGAAGAAAGAGATGGAATCAGGATAAAAGTCACAGGCCGTTCCGTCAACGGAATGAAATTCTACCTGTCCAGCTTGCAAACCATACAAAACCTCATGTTATGTGTGTATGTATATATATATATATGCGTGTATATCATACTCTATAGACCGACACCAACACCTCTATTTTTGGCTCGCCGCTGCTCACACAGGGCTCCTGGTTGCCCTCTGCCACACGCGCCTCAAGCCATGGCAACAACAGCCGCAGGCGGTTCCTGCCGCCGGCGGCGGTTTGGGTATGGGGCGAATGCAACGGAAAAGCAAAATTGACGCGCCAAGCAAGTCCCCTTCGAAGGAGATGACTTGGGTTTCTCAACATGGCAGTTTGGCTTGCAGGGTAGGGATTTTCACCTTTGCAAGTGCCTCTGTAATGGTCCACTCCTGAAAAGGTAGATTCTTGATTCTTGATGAAACAGAAAAGGATATTGAGTTTCAATAATTTGGCTGCCCTCAGCTGCAAGAGGCTCTGGCTCCCAAGAGGAGGTAGCAGGTAGTCAAAAGAACTGGCATCTCTCCCATAGATATGCCAACGAGAATGTTCATCAAGCCCTTCGGAGCATCCTCTTCTCAATCTGCTCCACCAATGGCTCCGCTGGGCAGGCAGCGCGAACCTTGGCTGGGCTCACATCACACAGCACAAACTATGTACTATAATCTTGGGAGACCGCAAACACCCCAGGTTTCACCCAGGGGTGGGTTCCTCATCTAGAGCGACAGAGCCACATTCGTCAGTGTCCAATGAACTCAACGCCAATCGTCTGTCAGCCGTAGTGCTTTGCATCTTTAAATGTCTGAGGGTCAAGGCCTTGGCCCTGGGATGAACCCAATGACAATAGCTACTAGGAGCAAAGGGCATCGCTACTAGGAGCAAGAACGCTACTAGGGGCTCCTGGCCGTACTACTAGGAGCACGTAGCTACTAGTGACAAGAAGCTCTGCTAGTTCTATGTTATCGGGAACATTGACCAACACCCACATCACTGCGTGGACTGGCGCTTCTGAGGCTTCCGGCATTCTGCAGCAGGGTCTTGATGAAGTCTTCGGAGCAATCCAAGTCAATGAGGCTTCCAATCACCTGCAGATGGACGGCTGCGGACGGCCGCACAAGTCCCATGTTGGCGGCTCTGTGCGATCGCAGCGACAACGACAGCTGCACAGTGTTGCACTGTTACACTTTTCGATCCTCTTTTCGATCCTCTTTTCTGCTGTGTCCCATTTCGCATGTTCCTCCCAGCCTGTGGGCACTTCAAAGGGTTCACCTTCACCACGTAGACCTGGGATGCTGGCAGCTTGCAACACACGACACTCGGTGATCGAGCAGAGGTGAAATGGTCACGAAACTCCTCCATCCCCAAGCTTCCCCGTGAAGCCGACGGAAGCTGCAACTCATGTGGTTTCAGCGCACAGTTCATAAGTTCATACTTTATCAGCCAGATTCCCAACGACACCCCTGAAAGCAAGCATCATTGCAGAGCCAACCTCGATGTACTTCATCAGTGAGTTCTTGTAAAGGTAGTCTGTCAGCTCCTGGGGGAAGTTGGAAAAAATGCAGGAAAAATCCAAAAGAGAACTGAGTCTTCTCGGGTGTCCTTCCAAGAAAGCAAGGAAAACCCACGGGTCATGTTGCTCCTCCACGAAGTCATGCAGGTCGCAGACATAGATCAAGGGTCGAGGGTCTGGCCTGGTGACCGAAAACGTTCCACGGCCGCTTGAGCGGGGAAGGCGGCACTCCGAAGTCCCAAAAGATCCAAACATGACAAAAGAGTCGAGAGTTCCTTACTTCCTTACTTACTTTGCGTCCCAAACAAATCCGCCGGGAGGTGGTCACCCCCACCTGGTCAAGGAATCGATCTAGAATCTAGAATGTTGGACCATATCCCTTTTGGGCATGGGACAGGAGACAGCAGGTGACTGTTTGGCCACTAAGCTCACGACAACTTGGCCTCCTTGAGGAAGTTTTTCACCGCGGTCTTAGTGACGAAACGGAGTGAAGAGCTGCAACTGTTGAGGAGTCAACCGTGGGTCGGTGGTTTCCCCGCTCTCAAAGCAATGACGGTCTTCAATGACGCAATGACGATACCTTTGCTGAAACATGCCGACAGTAGCTACGTTTAGAACCTATAACAAGCAGGAATCACTGCAGACTCGCATGCTGAGCCACTTGCTGGGTCATAAACTTGGGACTCGCGGCAGACTCGCTCAACCTGTGGGGTGAGTCGGGTAAAGTCACTAGGTTTACCATCGGCACAGAAGCTAAACAACTCGACATAGGGCAAACTGAAAGGCAATTCTCAAACCATCCTACTGAGCAGTGGAGGAGCGGTTGAGCCGTGGGATAGTCCAGGACGGGACTGTTTGCTCGGGTTAGGATACAAAAATACAGCTGAAGGCTGGAGTCCTTCTGGCTGCAAATTCTCAGTGCACCACCTCCTGCATGTTGCCCACTCGGCTAGCTGCCTGAAAGCCAACAAATGGGTCAGACAAGCAGTTGGAAGGCCACTATGTATTCAGGATGAAACACCTGCAGATGCTGGGTGGCTTTAGAACATCAACCCTCATCGCCAGTCATGAGGTGGGACCGGCCTGGATATATTTGAAATGCACGTCAGGGTCGGTGCCTCAGAGGGCGCTTGGTGTGCAAAGTGCAAAGTGGGACGGGCGAAAAGGAATCAGTCAGTCATCAGACACATCAGTTCAGCTCGTGCTCAGCTCGACGCTGGTGTTCAAAATCGCACCGAGGAAGTAGAAAATGCCTGATGCAGGTCTCTGGGTCTCTAGCTGTTGATGCAGGTTTTCGGACTGTTGAGGGGAAACTGACAGTCAGCCAGTGTCAAAAGAAAGGACTTGAATTGCAAGTCATCAATCCTCAAGAGTGTGCAAGTACCAACTAGCCTTCATTGGAGCCAAAGCTTTCAAACATCTCCACGATCTTCACCGCACCAATCTGCTCGTGATACTGGATAGCCACCTGTCGCTGTACCGAAGATGACTGTGAAAATGACTCTGGACAAACCTGAAGATCTGAAAAGGATCAGATTTCCCTACAATAGTCATACCAACAAATGAACTTCTTGAGGTATCGTGGTTCTCAGTCGCAATTTTACAGGTGCTATTCATCCTTCTCCTAAGTTGCCATACTCCATAGCCTCTCTGCCAGGCCTTGACTGCCACCTGCAGGTTCTGGCGATTGTGTCGCATCAAATCCGTGAGGCACTCGAGGGCCTCCAGAGTTGCAGAGATCACTGCTGATACCAACAGACCGACCACCCATCGACCAAATCGATTCTTCGAGCAAGGCTCAAAGAGGTGGGTAGGTTGGCTGTCACATGCGCTCAAAAAACAGCACTCTGAGGTCGTTTGCCCCTGTATGCAGTGATGGAGTGCTATCCACTGTCTACCTACACCAAGCAACATAGTAGTGCTAAGCTCTTTGCAGTCTCCGGCGACAAGCGCGAAAAGTACTGAATCCTTGGCACAAGTTTGTCTACAAGAGCTGAAGCTCTCGGAAGCTAATGGTGTCATTCAGCAAAGCTTTGCGGGGGCTACAAGTCTTGTGGCAGGTTCAATGTGTGTCCATCTTCCAGCAGGGTGCTGAACGTCTAGGACAAAACTTACCCAACAGAGTCAATTTGTCGTTTGGTACATGGAAGCTCCATTTTGGCATAGTGGCTTTGCATGGTGGACAACAAATACTAGAGTCACTAGGCCTGCAACTGGTTTCACACACCCCTAAACTGCATCGATGTCACAAGAACTCTGGCGTCATCTGATGTGCATGCATCCTGGCGATGTGATGCAAATAATGGCTACAAAAGGTTGCGTAACCCATCAAACACCGGCTGAGTCTCAAGGAACTGCGACAAAAAATGGTGCAAATGCATTTTGGATCTGCACATCATAGTAAAGGCTACGGGGGCTACAGTACGCCTCCATCTACCTGCAATTTGCAAAACAAGGTAGCGGTGCATGACACGCTTCAAATCAGCTCCATCAGTGTAGTGTTCCATGGCCTCAGCATGTCCAAAAGGCCATCAGGGAGCTATCTGCCTGTTTGCACTGTTATCTTTTTGCACAAGTACCTGGTCATATATTTTTTTCCTGACCAATTCCAAACTCCTCAACTAGGATCATGGCCCATTGCATGAGACCGGCTTTCTCGCAAAGCTGGCCGATGTAAGCCCGGTCGTAGTGGGTGAACATGTTCCTGGATAGTTGCTGCGCACATGCCCAGTTCGGAACCCTGGGCCACGTTACAATATTGTCTGGACAATGCTACTTTCAGAATGTATTTGGCAAACTGCTCAAGTGGAGAACTATCGACCTCCAACCTTTAAACTCTTAACGGCGGCGCACGAAACAAATTGTTGCCACACTGCCACACTTGATAATCTCATATAATCTCACTTCTCTTGGGTTTGATGCCCTGCAACCCCTGGACACATTCTCCACTACCAACAGGCTGCAACTCGACCCACCAAATCAATATCGGCTGCAACTCCCTAATTGGGTTCTTGTCTTCCTAATGACAGGTCGACCTTTCAAACAATTGCGATTAAAAAGAACCCACGGGCTTTTTTTCCAGAATGTCCTGTAGGTGATCCACCTCTTTTGCTCCCGGTTACGGTACCAAAAAGAACTTCTCGTTCAGGGCCGTTCGCTGGATTTCTGGGATCCCCGGACATCTGCAGGATGGCCTCGGCCACCTTTGGTGCCTGCTGAAGGTTCATGGCCAGCAGCTGCGTCTGGCGAAAGAGACGCCACGACCATGTCTTGGCGGACTGCCGGTTCAGGACTACATGTCAATGATTCAGATTTGCACTTGGTGGGTCTGCAGGCATCTCATTTGGCGACCTACAGTACCAAAATCACAGGAATGAAGCAGAAATAATCATCATTCTTCCATAGATAGGGTCAACTGTATGCTCACTAGAGCTCCGTAGAGCTTGGTGCTCTTTTTGTTCGCCGGTGAAGTACCGTTCGCAATTGAGGCGTTTGAGTTCGCCCGACCTGCAAATGGGCTTGGTCTGGCTTGTTGGCCTCGCTGGAGGTCAAGGCCACACGGCCAGATTCGTCACGAGACAAAAGGATTCGTCGCGAGAAATATCTAGAAGCCCTTATTTGGCTGATCATTCATATCATATTCCGTGTATTCTGCACTTGTAAAGAGATCCTCTTGCATTCATTAAGGTGCCTTGAGAGCATCGAGCAGGATAGACGTGGTCTCCTGCAACCTGTTCTGGTCCATGAAGACCTTCACAACCTGCTGGCGTGGCTGCACACACTACAGCACAAAAGCTCTCCCCCATCACTGACCCACTGACTCACCAACTCACTCACCCACGCACTCACTCACCCATGCACTCACTCACTCACCCACGCACTCACTCTCTGACTCACGCACTGACTCACTCAAATGATGATCTACCTGTGAGATTCCAGGAGTCGTAGGTTGCACGTGTCTAGTTCTAGAGAGGGCAACAGGGACCCACTGGGTTTCACAACTTTCACAAGAGACTTGGCTATGATGAGGCAAGGATCCCTTGGTAGCTACGAGGGTGCAAATGACCAAAGCACTTCTTTCACTTCATTCTCCAACACATCTCTCAAACAAATACACTGGCACCAAAAAGAGCAGTGGCAACCCATGCCAGGCCATGCCAAGCACCATGGCTAGAAAGACGACAGCTATCGGCGCCTGATTGATATCGATGAGTGGCACGCCGTTCTGGCCCTGGCCCCGGAAGGCAGCTGCAAAAACTGAGTCAGATTGTTGATGCCCCTCCCCAAAGACAAGACATAAAGAAACACATGTCGTGGGCTTTGTTATGTTTGCGGCAACAAGTCCATCAGCAAGCTCTGAAAGCGTATTGTTTCGGCAGCTGGCAACAGCGAGCAGCTAGTCGTCATTTTGTGCAAGTTTGACCTGCATGACTGCACAGTGGTCTCAAACTCGCGCAACCTCCAGGAGGCTCTTCGCGAAGTTCGTCGCACCCTCTGGATTGGAGGCCACCTCAAATTGGCATCTCCTCCTAACTCCTACAGCGGCCCAAAATATTGGGGGTTATCACCTGAGCATCTGCCACTTTGGCACTAGGGATCATGCCATGTTTTGAAGCAGCTGAGTGTAGTCCGCCTGGTAGCCAACTCTCTTGACCTCAGATCTGCCACGAAGATGCTTTTTGGGTTTAGGGACCTGTAATGATTTTTAGGTTTGGGGATCTGGTCTATGCGGAGCTTGCAGGGGTCTGTATTAGGGTCAGAACATACGCGACAATCTGATCGATCTGGCCCAGCTCCACGAAGCATTGAATCACCTTCTGGTGAATCTGAGCTCTCAAGTAGATGGACAGCGCGAACCTGAGAGGTTCACTTGGTCAAGCAGTTTCTTCGGAAAGGTCCATTCGACTTCTTCAATAGTGCTTGTGATCGAAGGAAATCCAAAGGGTTTCCCAGTTTTCTCGTCCGACTGCATGCAAGGAAACTTGGTCTCCAGTGGTCGCACAATGTCGCCCAATTCTTCAGTGCACTCCAGCTTGTCTTCCTTAAGCCACTTCTCAATGAGCTCACGCCGGCCTTTCCAAGAAAAGACGTGCAAAACAGACTTGAACATCTTTTAAAGAAATCACACAAGGACTTCAACCACAACCACTCACCTACCCTACGTCCACCCCCCGCCTTGCTGCACGACCGGCCGCACCAACTCCACGGACTCCAAGGCATTCAACTTGTTATGTTCCAACAGGGTGGAAAAGTAGTGCAAAATCGGTGAGGACCTCAGAGGTGCTTGATGAAAAAAGAACACAGCTGTACAGCTGAAGCAATGCAGCAGCTGCCCTCAGCTCACAGGCTGTTTGAGCTGAAGATTCCATGGAAGAAAGAATCCCCCTACCAATGGGCTTTTCTTCTTTCCTTTGGTCAGTACATTTTGGCAGTCTTCTCATTCTGAGATGAGGCTACATCCATATGTGCGCGGAAGTTCAGACAGTGCCTAATGCCTGAAGAGGTGCTGTCCAGGTGGAGCCTGCACGCTCTTGAACTGCTGGATCGTCTGCGGGGTGCGCAAAAGGCCGCTCTTGCACTGTGCTGCAATCAAGGCAGCACCTTCAGGCAACATCCAACAGAAAACGACTGTGTGTGTGTGTGAACCTGCAAGACACTCAATTATATACATCTCAAACTAACGAATCCTGCCTCGTTCCAACTCAACCGATGAAGTAAGAAAACAAATACAGTACAGTAAAACGGACAATGGAACAAAGACTCGTCGACCGACAGACTATGCCTTTGTAATCGCCAGAGGCGAAGAGTTGGTTGAATTGCCGCTGGAACAACTCGTCGGCGCCCGGAAGACCAAAGCGCTTGGCCATGTTGAAGGCGATGTCCTGCAGTGCAGGGCTTCCAGAGACATTTGCGCCGTAAAGTGCCTTGGAAAAAGAGAATGGCAAAAGCCCTATCGTAAAGTGCCCTTCTCTGCTGCCCAAAGTAAGCACAAGGTCTGCCAGGTCCTGGCGATTGGGAATCTGCACCAGCTGGTTAATGATGTAGTTTACGATGGCAGCCTCGTTCACCTCAAAGCAGAACATGCTGCTGCTGCAGCTACTTTCGGGCCAGTCTTGTGTGGCTGGTCATATGTTTGGTTCCAGTCTTGCACCTTGGCGCTCATCACCGCGCCCCGCTTGTTCACAAAGATGATGCCACCACTTAAGGCACTACCAACAGTAATGAAGACTGTCTCCTTCAAATGAAATCAAGTAAACACAGTCTCGAAAAGGAAATACCACACAGTCTCGAAAACAAGTGTTCAACAGCTGTGAGATAAAAACACGATCCGTCGCTCCTGGGACACCCTGGAGCGGACTAGCATGGTGCCTGTGCCGATGTCGAACATGAAGAGGAATCCAGCCTGCAAAAGGCTTTTCTTTGACACAAAAGGAATCCAGCCTCCATTCAATAAACCGAAAGGAGAGGACGAAAGCCAGCAAAACGCACGGTCGTTCACTCCCTCCACGCACTCACAAAAATTGTCCGGGTGAAGGTGCAAGGAACTGAGAAGTAACAAAACGTGCGCCAACACCTTTCGCGGTGGTCGGCGATATTTTGGGCATCGTGTTGAAGTCTTCCACACATGGCCACAGAAGAAAAAAATCACTTAGTTATTTCGAGTGATCCCCGTGATCCCCACCATGACTATCTTCTGACAGTTTATCTGGGAAATCCTCTGACATTCTCTTCTGGGGGTGGTTAGTCGTGCATGGGCTCCCTCCGTGGTGTCCAACCCTTTTGACTCTTTTGGTCGTCGGGCGCTCTTTCTCAAAGATCAAAGTACAAGAAGAAAGCTCTACAAAAAATATCACGGACTTATTTCGAGTGATCCCCTGAGTAACTTCTGACATTTCGAGTGATCCCCAATTCGCACGATCCCCACCAGGACTATCTTCTGACACTTTATCTGGCAAAGCTTCTGACATTTTGTCTGGCAAACCTTCTGACATTCTACCTGACCTTTCTGCTAATGACGCTCCAGAAAGCAAAGAATGGTTTAGCATTGTTTAGCAGCCTTTTTCACGAAAGCCAGCCGGTAGGCAAGGCTTGAGTTCTTAGGGTGAACGAAGTGAATATTGGGGGGTGGTCACTCGGGTAGATTTTGGAGGTCGAACCCTGAGCCTGGTGGGGGAGAGCGGAAAAAAGTGTGGTCAGGAAAGCATCAAAAAAGCATCAAAAAAGCGGTTTGGTGATGCAAGTGATGTAAATGACGCTGAGTAGTGCATCATCAGCATCACGAAAGGGGTCTGGAGACAATTTTCTCCACAAGAATCCGAGCACGCCTTTGTCACCATGAAGATGACACCATGCTTTTCGCTCAGGTGAAGGCCCACTGCAAAGTCCGTGGGCGCTTCAGGAGGCATGGCGATTTCTTGCTGCACCTGAACGAACTCTAAAGTGGAAAAAGCCACAGGAAGTGTCATGCCCCGCTGCTTTTGGAGGAAAGAAATGTGCTCGACTTCCTTGTTTCAGCTGTCAGGACAAACTGACAGTATCTTCTGAGTTCCATCCTCTCGCGTGTCAAGACTCCGTTTCACAGTGCAACAGCCGGGTGATTGAAAAAATGGTCCAAAAGGTCCCCGGAATCACCACAATTAGGCCTTGAAGGGTGGTGCGGACTCACCACGGTTCTTGAGGATGTCCATGATGTGCAGCTTCGTTCCCGGCTGGCCAGCCTGATGTTCAGCGTACGTTCCGGACGGTTGGTTCATATCCTGACTGTGCATGTGTACTATTTTACAGTATATAACTCTTATTCGAACGTTGGCGACTGATACAAATTTCTTAGCATTACCCAAAGTTGTTCTGCTTTTGGTGTGCGAACACATTTGGGAGCTGGTTGCCTTTCAATGGCCTTTCTATTCCTGAACTACGTTTATTAAACTTATTGTAAACATATCCAGCCAACGTGGTGCACGGCCCCCAGTTGAAAAAACTAGTTTAGTCGTCCACTAGATCCGAGTATTCTGCACTTGATTGCAAGCACCCTTTTATTGGCACAGATCCCTTGCAAGCCTGGAGAGGTAGTAAAGAGGTGCAAAGAAATTGTTTTTAGAGGAAACCAAGTTTGCTTCAAAGAAACAACTGCAACAACAGCAGAAGGACAAATAACCATTGGTGGACCAATGCTTCGTCACGCAGGAAGGAACGCCCGAGCTCTGCTCCGCTGCGCCGCTGCTCCGCTCTTGCCTTCCTTTCTTGGAATGCAAAAACTCCACATCTCACGCCACCATCGTCAACGTAGACGTTCCCGAAGCAGCCTGGTCAAGAAGCTGAGACACAAGTTGAGAAGCTGAACAGCAGCTTTTTGCAAAAAGTATTCTTCAAGTCTCTCCATCACCTCAAGTGTTCTACAGACCAAATAAAGAACCAGACGGCCTCCGATCAATCTTGCAGCATTGACAATCTAATCTGGGGGTCACTATCAAGTTGCCGGGGCAACTGTGAAATGCGGCTGCGCACAGAAACTGCACACCGTGTACACAATGCACAAACCGTAGTTTCGATTGTCTGTTTGGCACGGCCAGATGATCTGCCTGCGTGGCCCTCAAGGAGCTGTTGTTGCTTGCGTTCTACACCTGAGGGTGTGTGGAAAAAGTAATGGCTGAAGGTGTTCGCAAGGACCGTCAGGAGAAGTGACTGGCATTCCTGTGGCCGAAACCAGCCTTACAAAGTCTAAACTCTAAACGCTAAAACGTCTCAAGTCTTCAGGAGCGAAAAAGCTCCTTCCAAAAACAAAGTTGCTGTGGGGGTTCCCTGTGCAGTTTTGGGGAAACGCGCTTTCTAAGTTCACAGCTGTAAAGCTGCATATTGCCATCAATCGTCCTTCCCTGGTCCTGCCCAAGGTGGCTGGATTGAAAGGCTGGATTGAGCCAAGTCCTACTGTATATATCCCTATGTCGGAAGTTAAGCCAATAGGTGCTGCGTGAATGAATCTATTCTTACGTCTGTATATTTCAGCATTTCAATGCTCCAGACAACTTGCTGCCAATATGAAAAAGACAGACACACGTCCATCTCTACTATTGAATTGATGTCCTGTGAGGAGATCCCTGTCAAAAGGCACCAAGACACCTGCACATCAAAGGCACAAAGCGTGGCTGTGTCTGCATCTCAACCTCTCTTCTCTCTGGCCCCTCTGGATCACTCTCCGTCACATCAAAAAAGCACACATCTAAACAAGCCTATTGTCTGGCTTAATTTTGGTGAGTCTCGCCTGGCTATTCGCGGAGTAGTTAATAATCTGGGTGCCAGCTTCGGCCAATTTGCCGGCACGCTGAAAGATCTTCTCCGGCTGGCTGTTTGCTGTGGCCAGGTTCCAATGGTAGACATCCTTCTCTCCGAGATTCAAAACGACATGCATGGTGAGAAAATGTGGACAAGTGAAAGCTGTGCTTGTCTCGTCTTCCATTCCATGTCACATACAGTACGATGTTGAGTGAGACTGTTACAAACTCCAGAAACTCATAGATATATTCTTTGTTTTGCAAAACAGTTCCACTGGTCCTGAGCGCACACCAGTGCCAACATTCTGGGCGCCAACCAACGCCAGAAGACAATCTGCTCTGGGCACTGATACACCCCAAGCCTGTGTGCTTCAGAGAATTGCGCAGCTTCAATTCGAACACTGAGAGCTTGAAAAGAAAGACTCCACGATGGTGGTTGCAATATAGAGACAAATCCGCAGGTCAGTCGAAAGAACACCGGACCAGCAGGTAACGCCAAGCAGCTTTTCCTTTGTGTCAAGATTGAAGATCTGCACAAAATGCCCTGGTTGTCCTTCTGATGCTGCCTTGGCCGTTAGAAAACTTTGCAGGTCAATCATTGGCAACAGGGGAGCTGCTTAGCTTCTAGTCAAGAACGCAAAAAACAGAAAGGATGCAGCACTGGGGGGTCGTACTTTGAGAGCAATGATGTTGTCCTGAGGGTTCATCAGCGTAGCCTGCACGGCACTTTTGGTGGCAACAGGTTCACGACCCTCAACGTCTTTGGTTGCAGAGTGTTGGTACGTCACACAACTGCCCCCGTTGTCTCCAACAAATGTAACATTGCGAAACAGGATTATATTTTTTTTTGGAAAGCCAATGAAAGTGCTACAACAAAGGGAAGTGCTGCGTACGGAAAGGGAAGCTACAGAATGCAAAGTGCTGCGTACTCAAAAAAGGATCAAAGGTCACGGGACGCAGAGCGCCTCAGCTTTCATGGGACGCTTGTTCACTGCATTGTTGTTGTGCATATCCACCACAACCACCTGCAGAAGTCAGCAAGCTCAAATACCACAAATGTGGAAATCAGCCTGGCAAGAAAGCTGACCCTTGGACGTTCAGCAAAAGCACTTCACTTGTCACATCTCATCTCAAAGACTTTGCGGCACTTTCAGTGGAAAATTTGGTACAAATGCAGGTCTACTGGTCAAAGAGCAATATGCACTTGATCTTTGGAGCTTGCCTGAGCAGTCCCATCAGGAGCCGTATCTTTGATGCTGATGTACTTGTCTGACCTCAGTCACCCGTAGTAAGTACAGGTTCCAAGCTTGCATTGGCCATTCTGCTTTCACTTCTTATCACTGATTAGCCTTTACGCGTGTTCACATTTTTTTAAGAAAAGCTGTGTAATTCTGAATCAGAATAATGTATATGTATATATAGATAGAACGGAATCCATCACCGACAACCTCTCACTTGATACCGCTCACTTGAGACAATGACTCCATGGTCAAACTGTTGAATTTGAATGCCTGGCGTTCTGCAGCTGAAATGAGCGCACAGTGAAGGAAACGATCGGCATGTGACTCCGTAATATGGATTTGGACATACCATGTATTGTCAGGGTCAGGGTTTCTACTCACGGTAGTCACCAGCACTTGAATGGACAGCGACCAGATGTGGCCAAACCTGTATATACATAGTATCAGTTTGAAAGATCGGTGAGCGGCTGGAAACAAGCAGGGGTAATCAGCACGAAATGATCATACATGCCGCCTGGAATAAAGACTGAATCACTGAAAAACTGAACTCTAATCTGCCTGAGCATTGATGCCCTGGCTCGCCAAATCGATTGTCGTGTTCCTCACGGACAGGCATGAACAGTTTATATCTATGGTGGTCGCTTTGGCCACTTCCACTGTTCAAATCTGAGTACAAAACAAGGTGAGCGGCAACTCAGCCATGATTGACCTTACACCGAAGGTCTGCAGGCAAAGTTTGCCAATGGTGGGACTCCAATATGTCCACTTCAAGTTGATAGTCACACAGCAGGTTCAACAAGTTCAGGGCAGTGGGCAAAAGGCCTTTGGCCAACTGGACAGGGCAATCTTGAATCTCTACGCAAACCTGAAGCCATAAAATGGTTCTGTGGGCACTTGCAACCCATACCAGTTTGTCCCTGTCAGACAAATATTGGATGCAAAAACAATGAACGACCAAATGCCACCAAAACTGAATTCATCCATCATGGCAGCAATGATCAATGACTCAAATATAGGAGAAAACACATATTTGTATATATGAAAAGTAAAGCGCGCCGTTTTGGACACCTCGGTTTGGGCCTGTG